GTAGGAGTATGGCTCAATAATCTATGGTAAATGAATGATAAGGGAATACTATGAATAACTATATGACAACAAATTAGATAACTGAGATGATATATATTTCTAGAAAGACCCAAACTAAACTGTATCAAGAAGAACAAGAACATGTGACTGGACTTATAAGTAGTGAAAAGATTTAATTAGTAATTAACATATTCCCACCAAGGAATGCTTAGGCCAGATGACTTCACTTTCTAATCCTGTCAAATATTTAAAGAAAAGTTAATACCAGGCCTGTACAAACTCTTCCAAAAAATAAAAGAGTTCACACTTCTCAATTCATTCTGTGAGATTAGTGTTACTCTGATACCAAAATTAGACAATCACAAGAAAATATATTTATTTTAAGAAGATAAATATGTGTTATGAATATGAACACAAAAATCCTCACCAAAATACTAGCAAACTGAATCCAACAATGTATAAAAAAGATTACATATGATGAACATGGGGGATTTATTTTAGGAATGCAAGGTTGATTTAAAATGCAGGTATCAATTTACATAATGTGTAATATTGATTAAATAAAGGAGAAAAAATCACATCAGTTCACTAGATTCAGTAAATGCACTTGACATTCAACATCTTTTTATGATAAAAATTCCACAAACTAGGAATAGAAGGAAACTTCCTTAACCTGATAAAGGCCATTTGCAAACCCCATTCAACATCATACTCAGAGGTGATGAATGAATAATTTCTCCCTATGATCAGGAAAAAGACAACGCATTCACTTCTATTCATCATTATAGTAGAGGTTCTAGCAAGGGCAATTATGGAAGAAAGGGAAATAAAAGTGTCTGCACTGGTGAGGAAGAAGTGAAACTACCTCTATTTGCAAATGACATGATTTTAGATATTAAAACATCCTGAGTTCTGCTAAAACCTATTGGAAGTAATTAATGAATTCATCAAGGCTGCAATATATAAGATCGATAAACAAAAACAATTTGTATTTCTTTTCTTTTCTTTCTTTTCTTTTTTTTTTTTGAGACAGAGTTTCGCTCTGTGGCCCAGGCTGGAGTGCAGTGGCGCCATCTCGGCTCACTGCAACCTCCGCCTCCTGGGTTCACGCCATTCTCCTGCCTCTGCCTCCCAAGTAGCTGGGACTACAGGCGCCCGCCGCCACGCCAGGCTAATTTTTTTTTTTTTTTTGCATTTTTAGTGGAGACGGGGTTTCACCGTGTTAGCCAGGATGGTCTCGATCTCCTGACCTCGTGAGCTGCCCGCTTCCGCCTCCCAAAGTGCTGTGATTACAGGCGTGAGCCACAGTGCCCAGCCAACAATTTGTATTTCTATACACTAGCTGAATTGTATCCCCTCAAAAGATAAGTTGAAGTTCTCACCCCCTGCTACCTCAGGGTGACCCTATTTGGAAACAGGGTTATTGCCAATATTATTAGTTGAGATGAGGTCATACTGGAGTAGAATAGGCCCTTAATCCAACATGACTGATGTCCTTATAGGAATTGGAGAAGACAGATAAACGTGGAGGAAAGACTGCTAATGTAAAGATGGAGGCAGAGATTGGATTTATTCTGCCACAATCCAAAGAATACCAGGGACTAACAGTGGCTAGAATAGGCACGTAGATTCCTTCCCTAGATATTTCAGAGGGAGCATGCCTGTGCCAACACTTTAATTTTGAATTTCAAGTCACCAGGCTATGAGAAAATAAATTCTTGTTGTCTTAAATCACCCATATGTGGTCCTTTATTACTAAAGCCGTAGGAAATGAATACACTAACTATGAACATTTCAAAAGTGAAATAAAGAAAACAATTCAATTTATAATAGCACCAAGGAGATCGTGACTGAATTTAAAAAAAGAAATGCAAGACTTGGGCACTGAAACTACAAAACATAATTGAAAGAACTTAAAGAATACCTACAGAAATGAATAGATATCTCATCTTCATAGACTGTTAAACGTAATATTTTTTATTTTATTTTTTAGAGACAGGGTCTCACTCTGTCACCCAGACTGGAGTGCAGTGATGCAATCACGGCTCACTTCAACTGCTGACTCCTAGGCCCAAGGCATCTTCCTACCTCAGCCTTCTAAGCAGCTAGGACTACAGGCATGCATCACCATGCCTGGCAATTAAAAATTTTTTTTTTTTTTTTGTAGGGACAGGGTCTTGCTGTGTTGCCTAGGCTCGCCTTGAACTCCTGGCTTCAAGTGATCCTTCTGCCTTGGCCTCCCAAAGTTCTGTGATTACAGGCGTGAGCCACCACACCTGTCTTTAATAATCTTAAGGTAGCAATACTTCCCAAATTGTCCTACAGATTCAATGTAATTACTTCAAAATTCCAGCTGACATTTTTTCAGAACTGACAAGCTGATTCTAAAACTCATGTGGAAGTTCAAGGAAGCTAGAATAGCCAAAGCAATCTTAAGAACAAAGTTAGAAGATTCACACTTAACTGATTTTAAAACTCAATACAAAGCTACAGTAACCAAGGCAAAATGTTACTGGCATAAGGCTAGACATATGGCTATATGGCTAGACATATAGAGCAATGGAATGGAATTGAAAGTTCACAAATAAACCCTTACATTTATGAACAAATGATTTTCAAGGTAAGATGATTCAATGGGGGAAAGAAAAGTCTTTACTTTATAATAAATGGTACTGGGCAACTGGTTATCCACATGCAAAAGAACGAGGCTGGATTACTTATTTTTGCCATTCACTAAAGTCAAAATTATCAAAGACCTAAATTTAAGAGGTAAAACGATAGGCATTTTTAGAAGAAACATAGGAGTAAATCTTTGTGACATTGGGTTAGGCAGTGGTTTCTTAGATATGACATCAGAAGTACAATCAACAAAAGAAAAAAATAGATAAACTTTATCAAAATTAAAAACTTTTGTGCTGCAAATGATACTATCAAAAACATGAAAAAAATTGCTCATAGAATGTGAAAAATATTCACAAATCATATATCTGCTAAGGTACTTAGTAGAACATACAAAGAACTCTTACACCTCAATAATAAAAAGATAAATAATTCCATTAAAAATAGGCAAAGTATCTGAATAGGTATTTCCCCAAAGAAGATATAGAAATGCCCAATAATCACATGAAAAGATACTTAACATTGGTAGTTGCTAGGTTTTTTTGTTTTTTGTGTTTTTTTTTTTTGAGACAGAGTCTCGCTGTGTCATCCATGCTGGAGTGTAGTGACATGATCTCAGCTCCCTGCAACTTCCACCTCCTGGGTTCAAGCAATTCTTGTGCCTCAGCCTCCCAAGTTCCTGGGACTACAGGCACCTGCTGCCATGCCTGGGTAATTTTTGTATTTTTCGTAGAGATGGGTTTTCACCATGTTGGCTAGGCTGGTCTCAAACTCCTGACCTCAGCTAATCTTCCGCCTCGGCCTCCCCAAGTGCTGGGATTACATGCATGAGCCACCGGTCCTGGCTGTCACTAGTTTTAATTGCAAATCAAGACTACAATGAGATACCACTTTACACGCCCTAGGATGGCTATAATCAAATAGACAAGGCAATGATTTTTTGGCAAGTATGTAGAGAAATTGGGAACCTCATACATTACTAATGGGAATTTAAGTTATGTATCTGCTTTAGAAAACAGTTTGCTGGTTCCTCAAAATGTTAAATACAGTGTCTGCATATGATTCAGAAATTCTGTTTCTAGGTTTACGCATGAGTTAAATGAAAACACATGTTCACACAACAACTTGTACATAAATGTTCATAATAGCATTATTCATAATGGCAGAAAAGTTGAAACAAACAAAATGTCCTTAAAGTAATTGATAAATAAAATGTGGAATATCCTTATAATGGAATGTTATTTGGCAGTAAAAAGGAACAAAGTAATAACATGTGCTATAATAGGGAAGAACCTCGAAAACATATTGCTAAATGTAAGAAGCCAGTTTCAAAAGACCACATACTATATGCTTCTGTTTGTGTCAAATATCCAGAATAGGCAAATCTAGAGAGATAAAGTAGGTTACTGGCTGGGTATTTGCAAAGAGGAATTGGGAGTGACTACTAATGTGTCTGCGGTTCCTTTGTGGGGTAAATAAGATGTAGTAAAATTAGATAGTGGTGATGGTTGCTCAAGTTGGTGAATATATTAAAAGATATTGAAATGTATACTTTAAAATGTGCACTGTATGATGGTGGTGATGGTTGCTCAAGTTGGTGAATATATTAAAAGAAATTGAAATGTATACTTTAAAATGTGCACTGTATGATATATTATACCTAAATAGAGCTGCTATAAATTCTGATTTAATAAATGAATAACTCTTGTCAAAAATAATCTATGGTTTATCCATACTATGGAACAATGTCAGCAAACTGTGGCCCAAATCATCTATGGTTTATCCATACTGTGGAACAGTGTCATCAAACTGTGTCAGCAAACTGTGGTACAATGTCAAACGTAACCTGAAACTTATTTTTGTAAATAAAATTTAATTGGAATACCGCCATACCCATTGAGTAATAGTGATAAAGACCATCAGGCTTGCAGAATCTAAAATACTTACTATCTAGTTCTTTGCAAAAAATGTTTGCCAACTCCTGCTGTGGAATAATCATTAGCACTTAAAAAAACTGAGAAAGATCTATGTTTATGGATATGAAGAAATCTCAGACTTTATGTTAAGTGAAAAAGTAAATTGAGAACAATATATACAGTGATGTCATTTATGTGAAAAAGAAAACTGAAATCCAACCTACCAATAAAAATTACAGAATGGAAAAGGTACATGCAGTATTGTGTAAATGCATAGAACAAGTCCTGGAAAGGTAACAGTGATTCAATAATATTTCTAGGGAGAGTATTAAATTTTCGAAGTGGTAATCAAAGTGTCCATTAAACTTCATTTGTATTAAAATCTTTACAAAGAAAATGTGTGTGTTATATAAATTAAAATATAAATGTACAATTATAAACATACTTTTTTGGTTTATTTTTCAGAGCTGTAAATGATCAAGTTTTGTTAGATGCTGTAAGTATAGTAATCTCAATTTGAAATTACACTTTGTCCTTGAGTTCTTAACAGATTCTAGAAATTGTCAGGATACATAATCCTATATAAAGATCCATTGCTTACTTAGTTTATTTAAAATAATTTTATGCATATGTGAACTGGAAAGCCTTGTCTATTTTGTTCATTTTACTCTCATTATCACTCAGAAATAATTCACTTCTGAAATACTAAACTGTAATGTCCTACAGTCATCTGAATAGTTCCAGTCCTTGACACTTGTAGCTCTTTTATGTCTTTCAGCTCCAATTCTTGTCTCACTGTACATACTGATATCAATGTTTCATTCTTGTCATGACTTAATGAAGACTTTCTTACCTTAATAATTAAATATCTGAATAACCTTTCTACATTGAGAGTTTTACTCTTCATTATTACTAAAATTATTTGTTTCTAGGAATACAAACAGATGCAACGTGATTTTCAGTTGTTATCAGAAGAGAAGTTGGTGCTGGAAAATGAACTACAAAAGTTGAAGGACACAGAGGTTGGAAAAATTTTAGTGTTTGAAAATGGCATACACCTAACAAGAGTTATTATGTTAGGATAGAAATCAAAGAGATATTTAAATGTTATATAATATGTTTTTATTATTAATAATTCGTAGCAGCTATGCTTTAAAAAATAAAATTATGCCATATTCTAAATTATCATATTAGGTGTCAAAACCAAAAGGATGCCATGAAAAAACAGTTAAAATTTAAACATCTGAAAGACATTTCTAGGCCAAATATTTACCTTTATTAAACTAGCAGTAAATTAGTTTTCAAATATATTGTAAATGCATTTCGTGGTATTTTCTACAATTATGTAATGTGTGTATCCCAGTTCATTATACCAAATAGAGTAAATAGAAATAGAAATGCAAGGGTAAAGGAAAATTTGTTTCCTCTTGTATTTTATTGTTCTCTTTGCCATTGTTAGAGAGCTTACAAATTCAAACTATAGACAATAAAGTCAAATACATTAAAAGTGAACTTTTATTAACCACTTAAGAACTTAAGATATATGGTTGAGGAAAAATACTAAATTCAATAATGTTGGTTGCTTGATATTTCTTCCTTACTAGGGGAGGAAGCAGAAATCATACAGGAGATTTGCTATTTGATCAGTTAAAGAAGCAGTAGTCTTACACAGATGTCAAATATAAGATCAGCGCTGTCATATATGTTCAGTTTAGGAATAGTTTTCCTTTAGGTATCATGCCAAGTAGGAATAGAACATTGGAACGAAATAACTAAAAATAGTAAATTGTCATGTTGAAGAACTGAGTAGTCTGACCAAGTGTGAGAATTTTGCAGCATGCTAATCACATACTGTTAGAGCCACATTGAAAAAACGCTGGAGCTTCTTAGATGACTTGAGGATGTTGCACCAGTTTCTGGTTTTGCTTCCTTGTGTTGTTTCTTTAGGTGTTTTGTCTCTAATTCTGCTCTAGAGAGCAATGGTTTTTGCACGAACTTCAATATATGATCTAGGATACCACAAGGTTTTCTTGTTTAATACATGGAAACTTTGGTGCTCATTTGGTAGGTTATACTCTTACCCATTCTTTAAAACATTTAAAAACTTTTTTTATTTTTGTGGGTACCAGTAGGTGTATATATTTATGGGGTACATGAGATATTTTAGTACAGGCATACAATGTGTAATAATCACATCATGGACAATTGGGTATCCATTTTCTTAAGCACTTATCCTTTGTGTTGCAAATAATCCAATTATACTTTTTTAGTTATTCTTAAATGTACAATTAAATCACTATTGACTGTAGTCCCCCTGTTGTGCTATCAAATACTAGGTCTTATTCATTCTTTCCAACTATATTTTTTGTACCCATTAACCATCCCCACTCCCTGCTCACACTCCAATCCTCTGGTAACCATCCTTCTATTCTCTATCTCTGTGAGTTCAATTGTTTTAATTTTTAGCCCCAACAAATAGTGAAAACATGCAATGTTTGTCTTTCTGTGCCTGGCCTATTTCATTTAACATAATGACTTCCAGTTCCATCTATGTTGTTGCAAATGACACAATCTCCTTTTTTATGACTAAATAGTACTCCATTGTGTATAAGTATTACATTTTCTTTTTCCAATCATATGTTGATGGACACAGAGGTTGCTTCCAAATCTTGGCTACTGAAAACAGACCTGCAACTAACATGGGAGTGCAGATATCTCTTTGATATACTGGTTTCCTTTTTTGGGATATATACATATCAATAGGATTGCTGGATTGTATGGTAGCTCTATTTTTAGTTTTTTGAGCAACCCCCAAACTGTTTTCCATAGTGGTTTTACTAATTCACATTCTCACCAACAGTGTACGAGGGTTCCCTTTTCTCCATATCATCCCCAGCATTTGTTATTGCCTGGCTTTTGGATAAAAGTCATTTTAACTGGGGCAAGACGATATTTCATTGTAGTTTTGATTTGCATTTCTTAGATGATCAGTGATGTTGAGGACCTTTTCACATACCTGTTTGCCATTTGTATGTCTTGTTTTGAGAAATACCTATTCAAATCTTTTATCCATTTTTAAATTGGATTATTAGATATTTTTTTCCTATAGAGTTATTTGAGCTCCTTTTATATTCCGATTGTTAATCCCTTGTCAGATGGGTAGTTTGGAAATTTTTTTTTTCTCATTTTGTGGGTTGTCTCTTTACTTTGTAGATTGTTTTCTTTGCTGTGCAGAAGGTTTTTAACTTGATGTTATCCCATGGGTCCATTTATTTTTTGGTTACCGTTACTTGTGGAGTATTACTCAAGAAATTTTTGCACAGACCAATATGCTAGAGAGTTTCTCCAATGTTTTCTTGGAGTTGTGTCATAGTTTGAGGTCATAGATTTAAGTCTTTAATCCATTTTGATATGATTTTTGTGTAAGGTGAGAGATAGGATTCAAGATTCATTCATCTGCATATAGATATCCAGTTTCCCAGCAACATTTATTGAAGAGACTGTCTTTTCCCCCACTGTATGTTCTTGGCACCTTTGTTGAAAATGAGTTCACTGTAAGTGTGTGGAATTTTTTCTGGGTTCTCTTCTGTTCCTTTGGTCTATGTGTTGGCTTTTATGCAACTACCATGTTGTTTTGTTTACTGTAGCTCTGTAGTATAATTTAAAGTCAAATAATATAATTTCTCCAGTTTCATTTCTTTTGCTCAGGGTAGCTTTGGCTATTTTGGGGCTTTTGCGATTTTATATAAATGTTAGGATTTGTTTTCTATTCTGTGAAGAATATCATTGGTATTTTGATAGGGATTACAATGAATTTGTACATTGCTTTGGGTAGTATGGACATTTCAACAATATTGACTCTTCCCATCTATGAACATGGAATATCTCTCCATTTTTCTGTATCCTCTTCAATTTCTTTCATCAGTGTTTTATAGTTATCCTTGTAGAGATCTTTCACTTCTTTGGTTAAAACCTAGGTATTTAATTTGTGGCTGTTGTAAATAGGATTAGTTGTTTGATTTCTGTTTCAGATTATTCACTGTTGGTATATAGAAATGTTACTGATTTTTGTATTTTGATTTGTATCCTGTAACTTTACTGAATTTATCAGTTCTAAGAGTTTTTTTGTTTTTGTTTTTGTTTTTTTTTTTTGGGGCCAGTCTTTAGATTTTTCCAAACAGAATATCATACCATCTGCAAACAAGGATAATTTGAATTGTTCCTTTCCAGTTTGGATGCCCTTTATTTCTTTCTCTTATCTGATTGCTCTAGTGAGAACTTCCAGTACTATGCTGAACAACAGTCATGACAGTAGACATTCTTATCATGTTCCAGATCTTAGAGAAAAGGCTTTCAGTTTTTTCCCATTTGGAGTGAAACTGGCTGTGGGTTTGTCATATGTGGTTTTTATTATGGTTGAGGTATGTTTCTTCTGTAGCCAATTTTTAGAGGGTTTTTTTCATGAAGGGATATTGAACTTTATCAAATGCATTTTCAGCATCAATTGAAATGATCATATGGTTTTTGTCTTTCAATCTGTTAATATGATGTATCACATTGATTGATTTGCATATTGTGAATCCCACTTGGTCATGTTGAATGATCCTTTTAATATATTGTTGAATGTGTTTTGTTAGAGTTTTGTTGAGAATTCTTGCATCAATAGTCGCCCAAAATATTGGCATATAGGCCTTTCTGTAGAGGAGCTTTTGTCTAGATTTGGTATCAGGGTAATACTGGTCTTGTAGAATGAGTTTGGAAGTATTCCCTCCTCTCGTCTTTTTAAGATGGTTTTAATAGGGTTGGTATTATTTCTTTTTTTTATTATTATTATACTTTAAGTTCTAGGGTACATGTGCACAACAGCCAGGTTTGTTATATATGTATACGTGTGCCATGTTGGTGTGCTGCACCCATTAACTCGTCATTTACATTACGTATATCTCCTAATGCTATCCCTCCACCTCCTGCTCCCCACATTAGAACCCGGTGTGTAATGTTCACCTTCCTGTGTCCAACTGATCTCATTGTTCAATTCCCACCTATGAGTGAGAACATGCGGTATTTGGTTTTCTGTTCTTGTGATAGTTTGCTGAGAACGATGGTTTCCAGCTGCATCCATGTCCTTACAAAGGACACAAACTCATCCTTTTTTATGGCTGCATAGTATTCCGTGGTGTATACGTGCCACATTTTCTTAATCCATCTGTCACTGATGGACGTTTGGGTTGATTCCACGTCTTTGCTATTGTGAATAGTGCTGCAGTAAACTTATGTGTGCATGTGTCTTTATAGCAGCATGACTTATAATCCTTTGGGTATATACCCAGTAATGGGATGGCTGGGTCAAATGGTATTTCTAGTTCTAGATCCTTGAGGAATTCCCACACTGTTATCCACGATGGTTGAACTAGTTTACCATCCCACCAACAGTGTAAAAGTGTTCCTATATCTCCACATCCTCTCCAGCACCTATGGTTTCCTGATTTTTTAATGATTGCCATTCTAAGTGGTGTGAGATGGTATCTCATTGTGGTTTTGATTTGCATTTCTCTGATGGCGAGTGATGATGAGCATTTTTTCATGTGTCTGTTGACTGTATGAATGTCTTCTTTTGAGAAGTGTCTGTTCATATCCTTTGCCCACCTTTTGATGGGGTTGTTTGTTTTTTTTTCTTGTAAATTTGATTGAGTTCTTTATAGGTTCTGGATATGAGCCCTTTGTCAGATGAGTAGATTGCAAAATTGTTCTCCCATTCTGTAGGTTGCCTGTTGACTCTGATGGTAGTTTCTTTTGCTGTGCAGAAGCTCTTTAGTTTAATTAAATCCCATTTATCAATTTTGGCTTTTGTTGCCGTTGCTTTTGGTGTTTTAGACATGAAGTCCTTGCCTATGCCTATGTCCTGAATGGTATTGACTAGGTTTTCTTCTAGGGTTTTTATGGTTTTAGGTCTAACATTTAAGTCTCTAATCCATCTTGAATTAATTTTTGTATAAGGAGTAAGGAAAGGATCCAGTTTCAG